AAATCTCAGGCTCACGAAAAACTAGTGACTCTCTATTCAAACAAAATAATATGAATGCATTTCGTCCCAATGGCACAAGAAGAAACCAAATGCATTTCCATCAAAATTTAATCGCGAATATCGCCGCATCCATAAGAACTCAAATATCTCACCATCAATAAATCACCTAAATATCGTTGTTTGGAAATAACGATGACTAAATCCAAGCCAATCATAAGCTGGAATGCGCCGCAAGAGACCTTTGAGGTGGTATTTTACGGTTGTCGCATATGCCTGCGAATAGGAAATCAACGATTTTAGTGCACTTATTGCTAACAAAAGGAATTGATTGCGTGCATGAAAGCTGATACGTTCATAATGGTTAGTTCTTCATCGAGTCCTAAGTAAACGCTAGTCATATTTCAACTGATATCTATTCATGACAAAATACACTGATATGCTGGCAGCGATAAATTCCATCCGAGAATGCAAACGACCACTCAGTGCAGCGAAAACGCTCATTTATTATTAACTGGCAATTTAACGAGATCCTTCTCGTTTGATTTTATTCACTGACGTAAAAGTTCTCAATATGATATTGAAGCAGACATAGCTGGATGATAAATGCCTATCAGTCTCGTTTGCCATTTCCATGTGGTATGTGTTCATTTGAGTTTTGAGCTGAGCTGTGCCCAAGTGTAGCTAAGGAAAACTGAATTGCGAGTAAGCGTGACCGAATAAGGTGTTGTTCTCAGGTTAGCTTGAGGAGTGAGATCCATTTGATCACTCCCGTAGATCAAAACTGTTTTGATTAGTTGCAGAAACAGTAGTAAGATTTTTCTGTACAAAAATGCTATTGCAACATCAGTGCTTTTTTAATCTTAAGCATTACGGAAGGAAGTAAAGAAATACTTTTGGAAAACAAAATTGCTAATAGGATTTTACGCAAAATGTACATTTCACATCGAAGACTTAATTCGATCCAATAGCAAGTGCTTCATGTAGCTGAATATGAATATTTCATTGGAATACGAACCGTAGTTTCGTCAATAGTAAATATAGCAAATGAACACCTTCAATGTTCATTATGTGATATCACTCAAATGCCGTAAATCTCGCATGACTGGGTGGTATTCACCTATTTCGCAACATTATTTCAAAATTTAATTTCCTGGAAAGTAACGGAAACGGATGATTCATCGATAATCCGACATATTCCCATCGTAAATCCTCACAATCCTTCAAAAATGATTGATAATCCTCATTTTCAAACTAGAGACATTTCGTCGAGTTCCGACAGAACCTCTGACAGAACACACATATGATTTCGGAAATAA